ATGAACTTTAAACTTTTTGTTTTGGGGCTTGATTCTCATTGATCTTGATTCTCTCTTTCATCACTGACAATATGATTAAGATACAGTCTCTCTTTGAACTTCCCTAATACAGCTTTTAAGTGTTTAAGTTTAAATGTCTAACAACCTAAATGATCAAACACAACTGAAGCAAACACCAAACTAAGAGTGAACAGTAAGCAAAACAACTAAATCATAAGTAAAAACAGAGCAAATTCGAATTGAACTAAAAACAGAGGAAAGACAGGATTTGAGATGGGATAATTGGTGCTAGGGACCTATCAACTTAACCTACGACGCTTACAAACTCACACAATGCTATTCTTATGCATAGAATTCATTTATATGACTAATCCAATCTCTTGGCACTAATCTCTTTGTTAATCATCAAATCAAATACTAATTCTCATTAGTAAAATGACAAACAGCAAGCATTAAGATAATCTACCAATCCTATATTGCCAAATCACTCTCTAGACAATCAATCTCTTGACCTAGGACAAGCAGTTCTCTTGCAAAGCAGTTCAGGCATTTCATCAAACACTTGGTGGGCATAAAATGAGCCTAAGATCCTAATAAACTTAGCTAAGGCTAATCAGACATTAAACACAGAAATCAAGAAAGGAAATGGAAGAATTAACAGTAAGCAACCATAAATCAAGCATTAAATTCCCTAAACCTAACCCATCTCAAATCCCTAAAAGTACTACTCACTAATCACCATTGAAACCATCAAATCAAAGAGAAATAGATAGCTAATCATTATTAGAAGGACTAAACAAGAAGGGAAATGCAAATCTATATTTAAATCAACCAAAGATTCAAAGTACAAAATGTGGTTAAGAAACTAGAAAAGTAAGGACTGCTCGATAATAGCCTCCTCCCAGAAACTAGGGATTTTAAGTATTTATAGGAGTTCAAGCGGAGAGGCAAAATTGTTAATAAATTGTCTTCAGTTTGGGTCAACATCGATCAAACTTGGTCGATGCTGGTGATTGATGTACTGACATCGATCTGGTCTGCTCGATGTAGCTGATCGATGTAGGTCTTATGGTGTTTGACATTGATCAGATGATGATCGATGTGCTTGATCGATGTAAGCTCCAAAGCTCTCGGGTCCATTACATCGAACGATGCTGGTGATCGATGCGAGTGTCATGTGTCTTGACATCGATCACTTCTGATCGATGTGAGTGACCGATTTGAACTTCCATCTCCCCTGCTGCTTTTCATCTAATGATGTGGACGCCAGAACTGATCGATGTGCTTCACATCGATCGATGTGGTTCATGCCTTGATCGATGTTGCACCAAAAATCATCTTCCTTGCCTCCTTTTGCTCCTCTTTGATTGGGGCAACTCTCTGGATCATTCTCACACTTCCTCCTTGTCTTAAATGGCTCCTTAGGTACCTAGAATCATCTCTTATGCAAGGAAAATGCAAACTACATCCTAAATGCAACCTAAGTCTAAAAGCAAAGAAGAACGGGACAAAAGCAAAGGAAAACATGTAAAAGAAGACTAAGACATGAACTAAATGCAAGCCTAAATGGTGTAAATATAGGATATATCACCAGACAGCGCCTCACCAACTTCACCACTTATGAGAACATCCAATTCATGCCAACAGAAGATGAGCTTTATGATCCTACGACTGACCCTCCATTGATGTGGCCAAGCAAGGATAAGAACATGAGCACCATCAGAGATTCAGATGTGGAAGAAGATATTGAAGAGCAGAATCAAGAACAAGAGGTTCAGCATCAAGGGGAAGAGGCGGATGAACATGAAGACTATGATAGCCGCCCTTATGCATTTGACCCTTATGATGTGATATGCACATATGAATCTTCAAAGGCTGCTCATGAGCATATTAGGCTTCTTCAGAGGTGGAACCATTTCCAGGATAAGGCCATTAGAGGCTTGCTCAAGACAGTTAAAGCAAGAAAGAAATCGGTTGATTCCTTGAAGAAGAAAGTGAGGAAGCTCAAGAAGAAGTTGGGAGGATCTTCATCAGCCAAGAGGACTGATCAAGCGGTTCAAGCAGAACCACGAGGAGGAGGATCTGATGCTGAGGACATGAGGGCACACCAGAAGCCACAGTCCAAGAGAGACACTCATTCCACATCAGTGAGCGGCCAAGGACACATATAGCTGAACCGGCCAGACACTCATCTCATGTAGCTGTTTCAAGGCGCAAAGGAAAGAAGAGAAGGGCTAGACAGCAAACTCCATCAGATGAAGAAGCTTCACCCTTCCATGCCATTGAGAGTTCAGACTCTCACAATTCCTCCACCTGAAGTAAGGTACACCACACTAACCATTGTAAATATCACCAATTATTTTTTGTGATCGGTATAGTCGCACCATGGAGGGACAGAGGTGGCCTCCATGATCTGTCTGCATGGTATAGACTCTTTATCACCCTGAATATCTCCTCCTAGCTCAGCTTCCTTCATTTGAACAGCCATTCCCCTAATGTCGCTTTAGCTCATCTAAGATCTGAAAACATAAACAAAACGCAAGAATGTATGCAATCCTATTTTAAACGTAAGCTAAGTCTAATTTGGATGAATAAGAGACACCTTTGACCATCTAGATGATGAAATGAGATGAAAACTACACTATATGAAATCTAATATGGTGAAAAATGGCAAGTTATCAAAATCTAAGGGAAATTATGCACTGATGAAAAACTTGATTTATTGTCCCTTTTTGGTGTTAGATTTGAAATCAAATAAATGATTTTACACATTAGGAGAGTATAATTAATTATTGATTTGGAAAGTTTATCCGTTGCTTTGTATTATAGTGTGCGGTTTAACTGTCCCTAGACAATGGAAAATCAATTATGCGTGGTAGAGGAGTATATTCCTAAGCAAATACAAACAACAAAGATTGGAATCATGGTAAAGGGAATATAAGATATTCGATATGCTAAAAAAATTGGGAATATAGGATATTCGATATACCAAAAAAATTGGAATTATAGGATATTCGATATGTTAAAAAAAATTAAGGATTATGTTTATTGCATGAAGAGTATAAATGAGAAAGACATAGCCATATTTAAACCGAACAAAGAAGAATCACTTGGTAGTGATACATGGAAGAATAGCCATGAAGCGGACCGGGAATTTGTCGCATATCTCTTACATCATCCAATGTCAGGGGAGAAAGAGGGATTAGGACGTGTACCTGCAACACTCATAGTGCATGGAGACGGATCAACCAAATGGAAATATGGTTTGCTTCAAGAGTACATTACGAATCAACCATGGAATGAAAATGAAAAAAGACTGTTTGATGCCGAACAAGTTCAAAGACTGAGTTTGATCGATATTTGTTTTGGGAATAATGATATTTATTTCCATTTTTTGTTGTTTTTAGTGTAATAATTGTTTGGACGAGCTGAGATCAAGCAGAAATTCTCTACTGGTCCAAGATGATTGGATCCAGAATTTATTTACTGTTTACAAAATCCAAAAACAGATGTGACGGGTATCTTTGGAAAGAGATTGGAGAATTTATGGTAACAACATATTGTCGTAGGAAGAAAAATAACATTTTAGCAGTTATCCAACAGTGTGAGAAACTTCAACAAGAAAATGAGACACAAGACGAGAATAAGTTTCTTAAGTGAATTGGCGAGAAGATTAAAGCTGCCTTAAATTATAACACAAGGTTTATGTTTTGTGATATAATTATATTGTATTTTTTTGCTTATAATCTAAACAAATTTTGAATAATTTTTTTGTTGTTTTTATTGATGTGATAGCATTACAAAGGATCCAAAGGCATGAAGTTGATGGTCGTAACTCAGTTCCGACTGTGCTGCTTTTAAGAGGATGAAAGCTGAGTAGAGGAAGCTCGAGCGAGGACTCTCAGTTATGATGATTTGGAATTTGGTTATGTTATGTTGTTATGGTTAGTTTATGATGGCTTCTGATTTTACTATGTTATGTTTGGTTTATGTATTCTATTCCGAAATTTAAAAGATTAAGTTGATGTGGATTTTGATTAGGCTATGTTCGTAGTTTGGGATGTTTTTACGTTAGATGTTTTAGAATTCATTAGATGTTTCGAAAAAATAACACTAAAATACTTATAACAATTCATGAGTCGATTGATGACTCTTTGCACAAAGGATCTAAGTTGTTAAAGTAGTTAAAATGCATGATCGGAGACTATAGGTGTCTTTGCTATCTCATTTTTATTTCAACTTTCATGGTTTTGGTTAGAGATATACTCATTGTTCTGACTTGTGATTTCACTTAATTTAGAGTTTAGTTGGGGCCACTGCCACTGAAATGTAAGATATTTGATTGGATCATTTTCTCTTACTAAACATCTATTATTTTCTTTGCCATTATTTCATGTCAAACCAAAATATTTTTCTTTCAACAAGTTTAAATTTTAAGACTGAAACAATAACAACAAAACTTTTTCTAAACAAGAGGATCGTGGTACCTACGGCCTGCGATTCACGATACTTAATGAGTGGTTTGATCAAAATATGAAACATAAATGGCTTGAAAGCTTAGATCAGAGTCATGAGTAACATTCTTGCTTTCTGATTATGTTGAATTTCTCGTACCTCACATTGAACCTTTATGTTAAACCGATATGGCACTGGTGGATATTCCTCTTCCACATCGTAAGGCATGGTCTTAGGCTCTTAGCCACAATCAAGAAACCAATTTTAAAAAAACTATATATGAATCCAAACTATAAAAACAAAGACTTTATCAAGAATAACAAAGTCTCTTTTCTTTATCACTAAATAGCAAACAGAACAAACTCTGTTTATCTAAGATATCTGATGATGGAAAAAAACGACTAGTTACATATAGTTCAATGAATCTAGACCATATGATTATTGAGATTTGAGATCTTCCCTGATGAAACCCACAAATTGTTAAAAACTAAGCTTTGTAGAACAAAGAAGTCTAAAAACAGAGTATTACCAATCAGTGCAGGAAATTAAGGACAAGCCGTTTCAAGCAAGTCTTGAATCTCCTCGCTTACTTGGATCTGGTGTCGAAACAATCTCTCACGCATATCAGGACAAGTTTTCTCTGCTGCTGCATAAGTCTTTATAAGAAACGTCACAGTTTCAGAGTCAAGAGGTCTCAAATTCGACAGGATCTTGCAGAATTTTTCAGCTCCATCAACATCTTTAGCTTTCTCAAAGTGAAGAAAAAACAAGCTGAATAGCTCAGAGCTCCAGCACCAGTCGTCTTTGTTCTCTGCGGAATCAGAAACCGCTGCTTCCAAATGATTCATAGCCGAATCCACTCTACCATTCTCCAAAAGATGGATCATCAGAAGCTGCCTCGCTTTGGAGAAAGGTCCTTTACATGTTTTCATGGCACCGTCCAGAATCTTCTCTGCTTCTAGATACATGTCTCCTTTTAGATACGTGTTGATGGCGATGTTAGCCAGCCTCATATCGTAAACCTGGTAGTTCGATTCCCACTCTGTGAAAATCTTCTTGATCCCATCCATGTCACCGAGATTACTCAGCGCTTGTAACATAACAAGATAGCTCATATTGTTGACCTCAGGACGAGACTTCTTCAGCGATTCCCAAACTCGATTAACCTCGGCAGCTTTCGAGATTCCAGCATACAAACTAATGAGAAAATGGTGGGAATCGCGGTTGTTAGGATTCATCTTCTCCTCCATAGATTTCAGCGCAGATTCCGCCTTGTCGTAAAGACCAGCTTTGGTGTAGATTGCTGCCAGGTTAGAGAAAGTATTCCAAGTGGTTTTAGCTTCACTGTCTTTGCCCATTTCATCTCTAATCTTGTCTAATCCGTCCAAGTCGTTTAAGCTTGCACAGCTCTGCATCCATATAGAGTACGTGATCCCACAGCGAGATATATCCCTCTGTTTCATCGCATCCACAAGCACTTGTACCTTCTCGGGCAGACCCAACCGCATGTACATAGACATCATGTTATTAAAAGGCAACGAATTGTTAACAAACTTGAGCTCATCCATTTTCTCAAAATGAGCCTTTGCCTTTTCTCCCTTGAGTTCCACACAGTAACAGTTCATGAGCGCCCCATAAGTCGATTGATGATTCTTTGCATAAGGATCTAAGTTGTTAAAGTAGTTTTCAGCCGCTTCTAAGCCTTTGGTTTTTGCAATTAGATCCAAACGAATTGCATGATCCGAGACAGAAAGTGTCATTTTCCTCATCTCCATCCATTCAAAGATCTGAAATTTTCATTTAAATAGCCCCAATTAAACCTACAACTAGTGAAATCACACACTCATAAGATGTCATTTTTATTTTCTCCCTGAAAGTTGAAAATCATGCAATTGGATCCTAGTAATAAAGTAGGGAAATTGCAAAAACTTCTAACAATAAAGCTTAAGACTTTCGATTAGTATTTCCATAGATGATTAAACCTCCAGTTAAGGGAGGAGAAAATTGAGAAAGAGGAAACAGATATAGACCTCAAGGGAGTGTTGATGTCGACGGAATTTGCGAAGGTCCTTAGCGCAGCGAAAGAGCTCTTCTTTTCTGACCGTAATACCCTCCATGACGAACTGATTCAACGTCTGTGCCACTGTCCCTCCCGTCACAGGAAGCTTCGACAGTTTTTGGTAAATCATTCGCTTCCTTGACGCCGCCGTCGGAGCAGAAACAGAGGCTTCGACGCCATCCGCCGCCGGAGCGAAGACCGTCGTGCAGAACCTCTTCCCGAGACGAGAACCGGAAGCTATCAGATTACGGAAATTCATTTTTGTTACAGTTATAATATCGAAACGCCTTTCTTCTCGACGGATCCGGGAGTGATGGTGGTAGGGTTTAAGGTCAAAACCTTATGTCGTTTAAACTAGTTAAAACCGACTTGTAGTTTTATATTACATAAGATGTGGTGTCGTTTAAGATAGTTAAAATTGCACTTTGCAATTCAAAACCTTATGCCATTCCCTCTTTTGTCGTTTAATGGGCCGGGATTTTCTGATAGCCTGGTTCTTTTTCTTATAGCCTGGTTCTTGCTTTTTGATAGATTCAAATCACATTTTTTGTGCAGTATGTGTCGATAGCAGAAAATCGATATTTGGCTATGTGTTCTATTAGTTGGAGGAGTAGTATTATGAAAAAGTGGAAAGCAGTCTGTTATTGTTACTTCCACTATGAAGACTGAATTCGTGGCATGTTTTGAAACCATTATTCATGCATTATGGCTACAAAACTTTATTTCAAGGATTTAGATTGTCGATAATATTAAAAGGCTGCTGAGAATTTATTATGATAATTCTGCAGTTGTCTTCTTTTTTAAGAATAACAAGTATTTGAAGGATGCTAAGCATATAGGCTTAAAATACTTGTCTGTCAAAGAAAAAGTATATAAATGTAGAGTGTCCTTTAAGCACATAAAACCACCTCCAACACTTAAATATTTTAAATTAGGTATATTAATATATTAAATTAGTATAATTTAACAATAACATTTAAGTTTAAATATTAAATGATTGGACAAATTAAATGATGACATTTTGCTTTTTTTATGATTTCAAATACTGTCTCTCTTTTTCTCTCTTTTTTTACTATTATTTTTCTTTCTATTTTCTCCTTTATTATTATTTTGAATATATTAATAATTAGACACTATGTTCAGAACCACTGCGTTGGAGGTGCTCTATGAATGGATATAATGGTAGCGGATCTATTAACTAAAGTTCTACTATCCAAAGCATTCATTGGCCATGTAGAGCCTATGGATGTTATAGATAAAGCTTTGCTATTGTAGTTATGAAATGCTTATTAGGTGTGTGACACTATGAATTCATTTAAAGTAATGTTTCTAATTTATACAATATGTTATTATTAAAATGTGTGTATACACTTAAGATTTATGGATTACATGTATTTAGTTTGAAAATTAAAGTTCTTCACATTGTAAAGAGATTATAGAGTTGGAATTGTTTTGTAATACATGGAAGGAATCATATCGTATAATGGTATAATGATATGTGATCGCTGTGATTCAATCATTTCTGATTTTATAAGGTAACTAAAGATTATATGAACCTGATATAAAAATGCACATTTGAGTTATTAAACCATCAAGTCAACACAAAAGTCAAGTGGAAAAATGTAAGAGTATTTATTCTTATATGTGACCTATGTGTCTTTTGGTTTGATATAAAGATCATGTTCATATTAAAGTTATGCATTCCAATATAAAAGACGATATTGTGATTGTGATGGATCGATTTCGATTAACGACATTAGAATTCCGGTGTATTGATAGCCCTCCTCCCTTATCTTATTATATACGATCTGTTGATTGTTATCATATGTGTATATGAAAGGTTATAATGTTATTAAAAGTTGGCATGGTATATACAAAAGGTAATAATGGTTGGCTAAGTATAAAAGGAGAAACCAGATTTATATCATATAATTGCAACAAAAAGAGAAAACTCACATACAACCTAAACAACCGTAAAGGGAGAAAGAGTCTTTAGATTCCTTTGTCCATCAAAAAGAATCGTAAGGTTTTGGAGATCAAAAAGAATTGATGAATTGATTCCATACTAAAACCAAAGAAAGCATGGATCAAGGTTAGTATTTCTTTTTTCTTCTTTAAGAAACTATCTAGGATTGGATTAAATCAAATCTAGATCACTTAAGAATAGATTTGTTAGTGATGGGTTTAGCACCCTTTGCTAAAAACCCTTCATAAATTGAGAAAATGCCTATTTGAAACTCTATCTCCGCTTTCGGAGTTAGGTCGGCGCTCAAATATGGAAATATCTAAGGATATATTCGAATCGCGGAAGAAAAGGAAAGAGAACCCTGAGAAGAAAGGAAACTATCCTTATCCCGAAGGAGAAGGATTCGATTTAAGGCGGTCTACGAAGGCTATATAAGAAGAGCCCTCTCCCTCGAAGATCATTCATTTACAACTTCGGACTTGAGATCTAGGGCAAACAATAGCTTACTGCTTTCAGCTTTAGATCTCGGTCCTTTACTCTCAAACTTTAGGTCGGCGTTCTTTTCCGACGACCTAAATCCCTTATACACTTCGAGCTCCGGCTAATAATAAAACAATTTTATCTTTTCCCTCACAAATCTTTATATTTTCTTTAAAGGAGATATCTAGATCTTATAATTGGCGCTGTCTGTGGGGAATAAAAGATACAAGTTCGTCTACACACGCCGGAACTCGAAGATGTCTTCGGAGAAACAGCCAGCTGACACCGACAATACCATCATCCAACCCCAGCACACAGCAGTTCAGGTTTGGTTCCGGGACACTAGAGCCCGGTGGCAGCTCTAACGTTCAACAACACGGGACCCTCGACGAGGCAGGTCTCCCAGTAGCCCGGAGCTCCCACAACACGACGTGCATACTCCCGCCCCCTCCACCTCCACCTGCACCAACGGACATCACCGCCATCCTACAATCGTTCATGGCACAGATGGACAACAAGATGAACGAGCAGATCGGGGCTCTCAAAGCCCAGCAGGTCGCGTACCTTGAGACATTACGGGAGGCCCGACCTGAATCTCCACCACGGGATGCAGACGACACCGAGACCGGTACTCCCAGAGCCATACATATACCCCCGGACACCACAGCATCGGGAGCTAAACGCCTTATCTTCGGTGAAACCCCTACTTCAACACGGGGCAGCGAATGTCAGCAAGTGAAGGACTCCAGCACCCGATCTAAACATAAATCCCGCCTGTCCCCCCCTGGACTCCACCTCCCATGAGACCCCCGAGCAAGCCGAGCTTACCCGGCTGTTGAAGCTGGATTTGACACCCCAAATCCAGCCCACTTAAGCCCAACAGGCAAATCTGACCTAAGCCTAAAAGGATGGGCTTTAACCTTACGGCCCAGGCCCATTCACCTTTCGATAACCCGATCCTGAGCAACAAGGCACTCCGTCGACGAGGTCGAGCTCTAGCTCGACCAAATCCTGAAAAACGAGGAAGAATCCGAGCCAAGTCAGAGTATATTCTCGCCAGTTCGAATTAGCCCGAAGATCGCGGAGGAAGTTGCTGCACTTGGCGAGATATCCGGCTGAGGCTGCTGCACTTGGCCGAGATACGCGCTGGAGCTCGAAGCTCGACGAGGCAAGCTATATAAAGAAGGAGAACGGCTTAGTTCAAGGGACACCAGCTTGATCTTTTTACACACCGGCTTGATCTTTTTACACACTTTTTACACCCGAAAACACTGTAACTGCTCCTAGAGCTCTTTTCAGTTCATCTTTTTCATTAAGATCTTTGTAACCGTTTCATTCGACCGATTAATATCAAGTCTTTATTTCAGTTACTGCTAGCTTATATTGTCAATCTGTTCGAGAGAATCTAGCCTTCAATTCTTCTAAGTTTCTTTCCTTGCAAAACTCATAAATTCCATAGTGTGGATTTCGGTATCTACATTTTGGCGGCGACTGTGGGGAAGATCTATAGATTTCTCTTACTCAAGAGCAGATCCTAAGCCAGCTGAAACCGAAATGGATTCAACTCAACAAACCTCGGGAAACGTCTCACCAATTCCGATCTCTCCAGATCAAGCAACCTCGACCGGCAACGTTAACCAGACAGCCGTCGGAAACGAACCCAGGGTTACAACCCTCGTCGACACTACCGGCACGTACTCTAATGTTCCCAACCGCGTGGAATCGATCGTGATCAACCTCGTCACCCCACCAGGTACGACGAGTAACCAGTCACAAACAGTCGAGAGACCTCCCTCTCGAACTTGGGTGCGATCTGAGAATCCACCTACAGCTTCGGCCTCACAGAGCCGAGCAGCTCCTATTTCCCCGTCGATACCCGCAGCTTCTAGGAGCACGTCGGAGTCGGCGGAGATACTCCAAATGCTCACGCATCTGATCGATCGACAACGAGATCAGGAGATCAGATTAGAAAGGCAGGAACGGCGTCAAGCCGCAGCTCGATCCGCTGTGAGTCCACCTCCACGGACTCAGCTCGATTTCTCGTTGATCCCTGCTCCGAGTAATCCACCCGGACCATACGTGACACCTCTGTGTGCTCCAGGTCCACCGAACGTCGCCCCCGCGGTGAACCGGACAACAAAAGCCATGAATATTCCGGCTCTAGGAATACCCGAAATGGGACCTCGTCCCAACACGAGATATCCATCTCCACCATTAAGACCACCTGGAACCGAGCCACCTCGACAGAGATGGCTTGGATCCTCGGCATTCGCCTCGAGCTCGCAAACACCACCCCAGTTTGGTCAATTGCCGAACACAATTTCGAGCTCGGGACCTCCCAACGGAACCCGTAGGATTCGTTCACCAACAACTCGGAACTCATATTCCGAATGATCCGACTCGAGCTAACCACCTCGGCGTCGGCCCAAGAAACCTGGTCGACTGCGAATCTTTCGAAATATTCCAGAACAAGACCGATTACGCTATTCGGCAGATGAACTTCATGTTCCAACAAGCCACAAGCTCAGCTCCCGACATCGATCGAGTAATTCGCGAGACCCAACGAACTCCATTCACCTACTCGATCATGCACACGTACCTCCGAGACACTACCAAAGTAAGAGTCCCGGAGTACGCTGGAAACAGCGACCCAAAAGCTCACATCTGACTCTTCAACCTCGCAGCTATCCAAGCTAACTTCTCCCCAGAGGAGAAAGAAGCAGGATACTGCAGGCTCTTTGCCGAAAACCTAGTCGGACCAGCTCAGGAATGGTTCGCGACGCTGGAAGAAAATTCGATCTCGAATTTCAATG